AAGGCAGATGCTCAACCACTGAGCCACCCAGGCATCCTGTAGAAGACTATTTCTTTGATGATGCCTGGTATAATCATTAATTAATCAGAGAGCAAGTAGATCAAAGAGGGGGAAAAAAAAGAACAAAAACAAACTAAAAAGCAACAAAGACCAGTAATAGACTGCATTAATGTGTTTGATTAATTTTTGCCTTGCTCATTTGTAAGAGTCAAAATATTTTCTTTTTAGTTTCTTTTCCTTTGTAAAAACAAGATATATAATGCACTAAATAGTGAACATTAATGCTGACAAATGTGGAAAGTTGTCAGATTTATCAAGGAGTAGTTTACCTATGCTTGCTTTGGAGAAAATCAAACAAAACATATAAATTATTCAAGAGTATAATCTACTCTGTATATCTTCCATTGTGATTTATGAATGTTCTTTTTGTGTTGATTTCTTTTTTGTCACTTTGCTTGCTTTTCATTAGGTTTTTTAGTTATGGCTATAATTTTTATGGACAGGAGGGTCTATGTCACCAGTATCTGATCAAATTTCACATTTCCAATGGAGTAAAAAATGTTGCTGACCTCTCCCTTCACATGTTGCTATTATTACATAAAGGATCTTTTGGGATAAATTACAGCTTCGCATATAAATAATTTATTCCTATAAAATAGAGGTAGTATCTGTTTCCTTAAGTGACACCCCTGAGTTTCCTTGTTACTTTGCTATTTTTTCTAATTATAGTAAATATACTCCCTTAAGTTTAGGCAATAATTTATTATTCCATTGCAAATGAGTTTTTTTTCCTTTCACATTTTGCTACAGAAAATAAATGTTTATGCACATAAACACACACTGATACATATTTAAGAGTCAATAGGTATTTTGGTTAGCAAGATCTGAGAAATCTTTATCCTTGTCATCTCAAAAGAGATAAACAATACCAATTCCAACATAGGAAGTAAAGTTTACTTGTATATCTCTAACTTTCTAAATAATCTGTGATTGTGACAAAACCAAATTTTCCTAAAGATCTTTTGGCTTGACTCTCTATATATATTGCATTTCCTTGATTTTCAGAATAGCATGCTTCAACTTTCTAAACCAATCATTAGAAAAGAACCCGCCAAAAATTGGATAGTTATGTGCACTTTTAAAATATGTATATAATAAATAAATATTTATATATGTATTATAAGGATACATCTTACAAAAGCAGTTTAAACCAGTGGAAATGATAGTTATGTAATGGTAAAACATGTTTATTGCACAGCAGCGTATTCTTTTGTTGCATCTTTATAAGAGAAAATATAGAAAAATGAGTAAATCAATATGGTTAACCTCCTTGTGTGTGTGTGTGTGTATACACAATAACTCTCTAAAATAAAATTTCCATATTTTTTCCAATTCTATTGAAAATTTTAAACCTCTGGGTATTCAAGAAAAACACAGAAACTATTATGCAAAATTCTATTCCTCACTTATTTAAAAAGATAATAGAAGTCATTCACTGTTTCTTAGACTATAACTCATTATGTATTTCTTTCATTTTGCCTTTTCCTCTGGTCCTTTCTGCAGCAAAGTCAACTGAATTTATTTCAGTATTAGCTGTTATATTTCAATACAGGATAAAATAGACATTTTACTTCTGAGTCATTTTATGTCTCTTTTTTATTCTTTTCTGGAGCTCATTTTGTTTACCACTTTTCTCAACTGAAATTCATACTGTCTACCAAAATGTATATCCTCATGTTTTTCTACACCAAATAACCATAGTTTTATTTAAAAATTAGCCTATTTACTATTTCTTTTGAAAATAAATTCTTATCTCACTAGAAAATGGAGACTCTCCCTCTTTTAAATACTGCTAATACTTTAAAATATAATATTGCATTTTATATAATTAATATATTAAATTTATGTATAAACATATATAACGAGAGAGAAAGAAAAGAGAGAGAGAGTGTGTGTGTGCACACAAGCAGTATATATTAGGGCGAAACCTATATTTAAGAGCTCCAGGATCAAGAAAAAAGTATTTCTGATCATCATAATAGCTTTTCTGAAGGCATGTATGATGCTTAGCCACTTTGAAAGTTCACGTAAAAGGCTAGAAAATCCTAGATTAGATCAAACTCTTTTTTAACTCTGGTTGAACATCCAGTTAAATCTGAAGCCATTCACAAAAGTAAATACTGTAATTTCCCCTCAGTGGAATAAGAACTACAATAATGTCACAAATATCTAGAGCACAATCTGAGCTCTGCAACTTAATAGGAAGATGGCTACTGTGCTGATTCTCAATTTATTCATTAGTCAAGTGGTAATAATAACAGTTACTACATAAGCATAACGTAGAAATTAATTGAAATAAAGTATGTTATGTTTGGTAGCTAAAGAAGGAGATAAAAACTTGTTAGTTTATATCCCCCTGCTCTCCTTTCTTCACCATTTTTTTTTCACAGAAATCTTTAAAATCTGGGTAGAAATATATGGAAGATGCTATAATAACATGTAATTCATTAGCATCAGTTAAGGAAGTGATAACACCTCTTATATCCAAAATATTTCATGAAAAGAAAATATGTTTTACTCTTTCTTCCTCCACATCTAATTTGAAATTATATATAAAGTAATGTTTGCAATATCCCTAATTTGGCAAATGAGAAATAGATAGTAGACACATGCTGTATTTATGACTATTAAACACTCTAATAAGAGTTAACTTAAAAGTCTTTTATTAGCTAGTTACACCAAAAAAGTCATATCTTATTTTTTATGTTAATAAATATTGTTTCACTAAGATAAAGCAGCTGATCCAAAAAGAAGTAAAACTCCATTTGTAATGTGTAGCTTTAGTAACAAATAAGTCAATAGAATGTACATGTCTATTCTGATGGAATAGCATAGATGGATGTACAGGTAAAAGCATCTCCCATTTTTTTTAAAGATTTTATTTATTTATTCATGAGACACACACATATATAGAGAGAGAGGCTGAGACATAAGCAGAGGGAGAAGCAGTTTCCATGCGGGGAGCCCGATGTGGGACTCGATCCCTGGGACTCCAGGATCACCCCCTGGGTGGAGGGCAGGCGCTAAACCACTGAGCCACCAGGCGTCCCAGCATCTCTCAGTTTTGATGACAGAAGAGTAGGGGGAGAGAGTAGAAGGAAAGGCATATCATGAAAAGCTTGAGCCCTGGTCATATTTTTGGCCTCTTCAGTTATACTTCCTAGTACTTATGATTTTTTTTTCTGATCATGATGATTTTTGGCCACTGGCTTAACTCCATGCTCCCCACATTTCAACATACAGTTGGAATGGGTGGGCAGGGGTCTAAGGTACCAACTGTCACAGCATCTATCTTTGGTTAATGGGTATCTACCTATTATTGCCTAATAGTGGTCATTGGCCATTTCTATCTTGGGAGAAGATCCCCAGGGTCTAAGGATATCTGGCATCAGAACCTAGAATGGAAGATTCAGAAAAATCCAGTGCTTAGATTCACAAATCATTGTTTAGTTACCTAAACACATTTTTCTTCCTTTTTAAGATCCTGGTGTTAAGATAAGCTCATATAATTTGCTTAGGCAGAACTTCCATAAGTTCTTCTCCTCTGTCTTTACTGCTTTATTCATTTCAGCAGCCAGATGAAACACAATTATTCCTATTTATAAAACTTCATTTGTTTTCCCAATTTTGGTACAGTGTTTTTTTTCAAACTTTGCAATCTTAATATATGATCATAATTCTCATTTCACTTATTAACATGTACTTGCCTGTCATTCTTTCCCAATGTCCTAATTCCCTATTTTACATTCTTTGTAATATATGGATCAGTGAAAGTATTGACGGTAGTATGGATCCAAATGAAGAATATGGTGAATGTTACAGGCCCCTTACATCTCCCACACAAAATGTATACACCTACAATTGTATTTATCATTTCAAGGTAAGAGTTACCTTCAAACTTATTTCTGGATAGCCTGAGAATTCAAGGAAACCCCAGGTTAACATTGCTGTGCATAGATAATTTTGCAACATGACAAGGTAAAAACATAAGACTAAATCAGAGAAAAATACTCTTCTTCTTACAAGTTGAATGAACTTGTTCTTACCAGTTCACCTGTCCTATATAACTCATCAGTAAAATGAGGCAGTTGGTTCACTTGGTGTCTGGATTCTCCTTAGCTCCAATTATTGAATATTCCATAATTCCAACTGCTAAATGCTACTTCTTCATAACCGTGTACCATTAAGTAATATGTCTTACTTATTTATAAGATTTCAGAACTCTATGAATATACCCCAAGAATGTATTTTCATCAGAGAATGATCACATTATTGCATCTTAGGATATATAAGAAAGATAGATAGATAGATGATAGATAGATAGATGATAGATAGATCTTCAAAATAGGGAAGCAGGGAATTAATTGCAACATTTAAAAATCTTCTAGATACTGTATTTAGATTAAGTACTTTACAAGTGCTGTCTAATTTTATTCTAACAAAACCTTTGTATGGTGGTACAATTTTATTTTATAGGTGAAGAAGTTGGATCTCAGAGAAATTAAGTGACATTCTCATAGTCATATGAGCATGAATCAACATGTTGCAGAGATGGGAATCAGAGCCATTACTCATCATTTTCCATCACCATATATTCCTAAAAAGAGTATTTGATTAAAACTAAAAAAAATGTGAATAGTAATAATAAGTGGGTTGTGATGTTACTTTTTCTTAAATAATTAAACAATTGTAAAAAAATGGTAACAGTGAGGCATAAAACTTAGTTTGGGAAGTGGTTGGACTTTTGCCTTCAAGTGCATGTGTGTGTGTGTGTATACGATAAAACATAAAAATGGAACATTACTGTTTTACCAAATGCTTAATGGGTATTATTTTTTATTTTAAATTATTATTATTGTTTAATTTACATTTTGATGTTACTTTTAATATAGGGCTTTTTAGAACATAATAGCTATTAATACAGCATCATATACAATTACCTGTGGTGGAAGCAGCGGCAGTCTTATAAAGGCAAGAAGCATACTCAAGTCATTGCATCTCCTCTGCATGTCATACTTGACCCACATCATTAATGCATGGAAGATAGTTTCTTCGTCAGGAACATTTACATCATCACTGGCCAGGAGTTTATGAAGCTCCTCAGCTGGAAGCAGTAAAAACTCTTGATTTCTCATAACTTCCATTATGTTTTCCTGCAGGGAGAAAACATCTTGGAATAAATTTGGCTTCACTTTGATTTAGCTGGGAAAGCATCTCAGAATGAAATGAGAAGTCGTCAATAACCTTTGTTCTCATTATAACATAATCCTTGAGACTTAATCCTTCAGAAACTAGAAGCTGTTAAAATGAAAGCATTGTAATTGTAATTGAAGTGTAAATGTATCAGAGACAGCACAGATCTTGTAATAACTGGAGGATTATAATGTTGAGCTTTGTTATGCAGGCAGAGTGTACTAAGTGATTAAATGTTCAAGTTTCAAGTGGACTGCTATGTAAGGTTTGGTGAACATGAAAAGAATAGCATTTCAAATTTTTTAAAGCTTGACTACATATACATGAATCAGAAAGTGGGAACGAAATTACATAGAGATAAGTAACACTATAAGATGCATTACTATTTATTTAGAAGAGAAAAACAGGACAGATAGGCTATAGAAGTCACAAAAGCACATATGTTCCACCCTTTTATTATCTCTCAAAACTTCCTCCTCTCATGACAATTTCTCTGGCTTAATTTAGATTCCTATTTATTTTCTTCCAGATTGCTGCCATAACCTTCTAATTACCCTGCCTGACTCTATTCTTAGCCTCTTTACTGTATCCTCTATAATAAATGCTAGAATAATTGTTCTACCACATAAATATCATGGCTTGCTTTGGTTTGGTTTCCTTTGTCTTTTGGTTCAAATCTCTTGGTGAAGTACACTACTTCTTTATGATCTGATGTCTTCCTGAGTCTAAGACTATATTTCTTAACCTTACTTGTGTTATAGTCACAGTTACTTAATCTTTCCATTTGCCATTCTGTCAGACATGTCCCCTCTCACTCATCTATTGATTAAAATGACTTATATATCCACTTTTTCCTAATTTCTGACATTTTTAAAGACTCAACTCAAAAGCAATTTGTGATATACGGGTTTCTCGAGTCCTCTGTTCACACGAATGGAATCTGGCTACCCCATTCACCATGCGTGCTCAGTGGGTGGTATTTATATCCCTGAGATAGCAGTTACCAAACTGGGGCCTAATCTTCAGTGCCTTTAGGGGTCTTAACTCAAACTTTAAGCTCCTTGGAACAGACACCTTAACATGGCATCATATCTAGATCCTGGAACATTACAGGTGAACAGTACATATTTATTGAATTGGATATGTTGGTAATATTTGTGGAGACAAATAAAATTTTGGAAATAGTACAACAGAGTGGTGCAGTGTTTTTCAAACACACTTTAAAAATGATTGCCAAAACCCTTCTGATATTCTAGCAGAAAGGGTTTGTTGGCTGATATATGGTTAGAGAAGACAGAGATCTGACTGGCTGCCTCTATTGTTCCACCAATCCCCATGTCTCAATTCCAAGGAAGATATAATTAAGGTTTTTCAGATCATAGTTTAAAAGCCACTGTTGTGGTAGAAATCTCAATACATGCATATTGTAGGAAAAAAAACCTGAAGCAGATTCAACTAGATATTTTCCCACAAAGGCATTATGACTACACTAAAGCTGAATAGAAGGCTCAGCAAATGCCCATTACTCTGTATGTCAGAGAAGACCCAACGTATTTTCTAAAAGAAACCTGATCCACCTTTTGAGTGTTATCATTGGAACTGAATCCAAGGCTTGAAGTGCCTTCAGCTGTCACAAAAGAATCTCAGCTTTTACTTTCGTTCAGGTCATATGCCATATTTGATGGACATCACAGAATAGCTGATGTCCTAGAAAATTTTGTTCCCTGTGTTCCCTCTGTGCCTAACACAAATTCTATGTAAATTATAGGTATCCAATATCTATTTACTGAATTAACCAATTGAGTGTTCTGAGATGTAGTGCCACCAAGTTTCTCTAAAGAACTATGGTAAGATAAAGATGTTTTTGGAGAATCTTTGAAAGATTCCTTGTCCATCTATTTTTCCTGTTACTGAAAAATCTATGCCTCTATTAAACTACACACAGAACTGTATAGCTAAACCATCAGTATATAATATGGGGTACGATAAAAAAGCAGGTCTATGAAACTCTTAGTGGTGTCTATCAAAGATATTGTTTAAGGCATATTTTGTTATATTTTACAGCAGCCTCTTTATGATGACCCTTGGGAGAAATTTCTTGCAGGTTTTAGTAGCGAGAATAATTGCACTTCTCCTGAGTAAATTGGTTTGCTTTTATCATGGATGTTGTAAATTATGAAATTGATCAGATTTCTCTTTTTATTTGGCTTCTAGAAAACTTAGAGTTAAATTGAAATCTATCTGTTAAGAAGGTAATAGTCCTTTATAGTTTGATTTCTTTTTTAGACAGCTCCAATAAGTTTCATTTAATACCCCTACAGCAGATTTTTTTCTTTTATCCCTACATCTTTTTTTAGAGCATACTCTTTTAATTTTATATCTTTGCAAGCCATACTACATTTTGGGGAATTAGCTATGTGGTTTGTAAAAACTGCTATAAATAAACTGGACATTAGGAGCTAATATCAGATTATTGGATTTTTCATACTGTCCCATATATTATTTTGTTTATTATTTTTTCTTTATGTATTTTAGAGTTCTAATGTTCTCTTTGCTCTTGTTTGTTTTCTCCATCAAGTCTCCTTTTCGTGATATCTTGCTTGATATTTTCTTGTTTTTTGCAATCTATTTTCTGGAACTTGATTGTTTTAATTTCATTATGTTATATTCACTAAAGAAAAATGTAAATTCACACTACTTTCCTTAACATTGCTTGTGTACCCCTGGTAACTCCTTGTGTGAGAAGATCAAGTAGTGAAAGGCATCAAAATTCTTTGGCCTGTTTACCTTTTGTACAATAACTTTAAATTTATTCAATAATTCATTCTATATAGATTTACTGAACACTTAACATATGGTCCTGGATAATTGCAGCAAGAACAAAATGGATTTGCATCAAAAAGCTTACCACACATGGGACACCTATAAAATGTGCAGTGCTTAGAAAATGACTTGTCAACTCAGAAAAGCAGGGTTTTCAAATGGACCTAGAACATTAGGTAGGAGAGTAAATTAGAAAATGGAAAATGGATAGATATAGTATTATGGCTAGGGGAAAGTATATAAACAAAGGCATAATAGCAGGTAATATAGTATAAAGTGCCATATTTGGAATGTCAATTTGATTAAGAATGAGCACAGAGAAATTGTGAGAAATAATATTGAAAGGATAATTTAGACCATATAATGGAATAAATTTATTCTAAAACTTTGACAGTCTCTCCATTAAATGGGAATATATGTATACATATATTTTTATACATAGATTGAAATATTTATTATAAAGAAAGATTTTAGCATCAAACTTAAGTTGCCACTACATAAGATACAAACAATCTTTATTAGTTACAAGGCTAAATTCTACTGTCTACTTTTTCTATTTCATAATACTTTAAAATAATTTTGGTAGCTACAAAAAAATTCACAATTTTGTTTTATTCTAAACAGAATTTTCTTACCAATTTTATTTAGCTATTTCCTGAATTTGACATAAACATTTTCTAATATTAATTTTCTTCTCTCCCTTAATTATATTATTGTTTTTCTCTTATCTTATTATTGGCAATATATTAATAAGTAGTAATTATTCAATTTGAAATTCCAGTGGAAGTTTATTTTTATTTTTATTTTTTTAGATTTTATTTATTTATTCATGAGAGATACAGAGAGAAAGAGAGGCAGGGACACAAGCAGAGGTAAAAGTAGGCTCCATGCAAGGAGCCTGATGTGGGACTCGATCCTGAGACTCCAGGATCATGCCCTGAGCCCAAGGCAGGTGCTAAATCGCTGAGCCACCCAGGGATCCCCAGAAGTTTATTTTTCTACATCATTTTAAAAGCTAGCAATTAATGATAATATTATGTTAAGTGGAATATAAGGAAGTGCATTCAATTATCATATTTTAGTTATCATTTTAGTTTAAAATCTGGGTATTAAATTGTAGTAAAATATTTTCTTAATGTTCAAATAACTTTAACATAAATTTTAACGTTGTTTACTTCATTAACAGCTACTACAAATACAATACATTATACACTATTATGGTTAACTCAAAGATACTGCTCTGTTATGAATGTCTACTGGGTTAAAACTATTTCACCATCTTGCACTTTGTGACCAGAAGTCAGTTAGAAGAAGCTCCTAATCACTGCTTCCAACATTATGTTGGGAAGGTTAATCCTCCATATCACCACAGAATCTCTGGCTTGATTCCAAATCACTGGAGCCTATGGAATTCATTTAATTGCCCATCTAAAAAGTTATTGGTTAGAAAGAGGAATTCTTAGGAGGCTCATACTACCAAATAAATGGAAAAATGAAAATTTGAGGCTGAGAATTGGCTATATCCTCTGGTTAAGGCTTATTATATAAGAATGAAAATGTAAATTTTGGGTCTAACGTCTGAATTCTAAAATTATAATTCCTTGCATCCTTTGCAAGGAAATTTTTGAGAGTTTCTGATATATGCATGATTCTACTATTGTCAGGGACAAAGTTGAAAAATACATATCTTGACTTCCAAAGCAGAAGTTACATCATGTACCAGATTGAGTAGTGTATACCAAAACTTCATATTCACTTGGAACCTGATAATGTGGTCTTATTTGGAAATAGGGCCATTGCAGATGTAATTAGTTAAGCTAAATTAAGGCCATCCTGGATTAGAGTGGGCCCTCATCCAATTACTGGTGTGGTAAATGACAGAAACAGGCCTACAGTGATGAGAACACTATGTGAAGACAGGGGTGACACAGAAGGAAGAAGGCCACATGAAGGTAAGATAAAAGTCATGCTGCCAAAAAAGTTAAAGAATGCCAAGGATTGCTAGGAAACACCAAAAGTTGGAAAAGGCAAGGAAGAATTTTTCTCTAGAAACTCCAGAGAGAGCATGGCTCTGCTGACATCTTGATTTCAGATTTTTAGCCTGAATTATAAGAGAAATTTTCTGTTATTTTAAGTT